TAAGTATAAAATGTGAAACATCATGAGTTTCCAAGACTATGAGACTGAAAGGCCTTGAGAGCATGACTCTCCAGAGTCATATTAGACTATGAAGCGGTGAGATGACAAAATTTCCAGATAATGAGACTGAAACTGTGGGTTCGAGACATTAAAAAATCACCCAAAGTGCAAGTTCCTTGGCAGAGTGATCTGTGGATAGGAGTTCTCCAGATTCAAAATCTAATATCCCAGTCCATGGATTTGGGTGAACCTGGTCTGATTTCTTATTTGTGAAGAACTTCTTGCTTCTCAAATGCTTCCCACCTGAGAAATTCTCTAATTTTTGTTCACCCCATCTTTCCAATGTTTTTACTAAACTTGAATAGTTTTAGATTTCTTTGTGTCTGGAGCTCCTCATTAGTAGGGATGTTTGATTTATTCCGTGATTTCTTATCGTATTGATTCCAATAAAGACATTTCCCATCCATCTACATCCTAAGTGAAAGCAGAATCCCTTTGAAACCATTGAAAGAAGTGAAAAATATTGAAAGGTGTGTCAGCTTTAACTTGCTCCCGCATACCCATTCTCAATATTTTCCTACTCTGCTTAGTCCTCTGGTCCTTTGGCTTCTGTTAGGTTCAGCTAATGGAACTACTAACTCAGTAGTTTCTGCTGCTTCTAATTCCAGCGTGCTATGCTGTCTTGCGGTTTCCAGTATTGTCCACACAATTTCATAAACAGTCCTGTTATTATTAAAGTCTCTTCACATTGTCCAATTTGAAAGTGCCCTTTGTGTCTTGTTGAGAGGACGACATGAGGAGTTTGAAATGGATGGTTAGATGAGAGGAGTTGAATGGATGGTTAGACGATGGGAGCAACTGAAAGACATATGTGTCTAGAACCTTTCAAATGGAAAGGAAAATCCAGAGTGGAATAACTGTAGATTGGCATGATTTCTGTGAGAAGACTGCTTGAAAACCTGGGGTAGAACAGTGGCACTCAGGTACTTTGCAAAAGAAAGTGGGTGAAGCTTGTGTGTGGAGGAAATTGAAGGTGTCAGATGGAGTTCGGTAGGGCAGTTAGGTGGGAAAGGAAAAGTCAGAAACCCTAGCGTTCTCACAGTCATGTCCCCTTGTCCACTATTACTTTGACAATTATCTTTGACATATCAATAGAGGCAGAAGCCATAGTTTTTTGTCTTTTACTCTTTCAAAAAAAAAAAGATATTATTTACTGTAGTTGAAGAGCCCTTTCTAGATAAAATCTAAAGAAGCAGCCCAGTATATATGGCATATAAAAAACAAAACTCTTTAGGTGGAAAATGGACTAATGGGGCAGAAGGTGTTGCCTGCTGACACTTACACTCATTTCCTTAGTAGTTTCTAAGGGGATACCTCAGAGTCTTTGACCAATATCATTTGGAGACAGAATTGGCGAATGTTGTGTATTTAATCTGAAACGTTTAACATGCCTGGTTAGGGAAAAAGAAAAACATTCTTCAAAGAGGATCATGAAGTTTGGCAACAGAAACGACTTTTGAACAAGGGTTACAGAACTACACACGTAAAAATTACATACAGGTAATGTTAGCAAAATTCAAAAATTTATTATTTAGTAAGAATACCTGGTCAGTGTAGTACCAAGCAATATTGCAAAACTATGTGCCTTTACCCAGAAAGCTCAAAATCAAAAAAAAAAAAAAAAAAAAGAAAGAGAGATGCCATTCAAGCAAATATCACATAAAGTGTACTATGCGTGCACGAACACAACCATGCATGCGCGCGCGCACACATACACACACACACACACACACACACATATACACACACAGAATCACATTAGAACCAATTACATGTGAGAATTGCCTAAGGGTCTTTTAAAGCACAGTCCACAATTAAGTTTTGAAAACTCCTGGACTCGATAACATTCCCTTCAGTCTTATTGTTTAATGATTAAAAAGTATGATGCAGGCCTGGATTTAAGTTCCTTTACTACTTGCAAATTAGATGCAATCTAAGAGGTAAAGCAGATGGGTGAATTCCCAACCATCATACTTCAAGTCAACCTTGAAAGTAAGTACAAACAGTTCAGCAGCACACATTCATTTTTTTTGACCAGCGCCTCCCTCCCAGGAGGTGCGCAGGTGGGAAAATGAGTGGGATCAGAACTCTTTTCTACTCACCCAACATAAATTATTACTTTCCATTGGAGAATGGTTATTTGCAAGGTAGCCGTAAATCTTACAAATGAATGTTTGTAAGGCAGCAGAGAGCAGGCTCTCTGATTGCCTAAAAAGAACTGGGGGAAGGGAGCTGAGGAAAATCATCTCTAACTTCCCAGATTAATAGGCAGAGGAACTTCATAGCTTCAGCTCCCAAAATAGCAGGAGAGAGAGGGGGGCATGGGGGGGGCGGAGAAAGAAGGAAAAAAAGAAAGAAAAAATAGGCATGCTGATTGCATTGTTACAACTTAAATTGTACTCAGATGCGAACTCTGACGTGCCAAAAACAGTGAAGGCTGAGCCTGAAAGATCAGAAAAGTGACATCTGGTATTGGATGCCCCAGCAGACATGACTAATACCATTGGTATTGTGTAGATTCTGCCTTCGCTAATTTAATATTCAAATATGAGGGTCAGCCCCACAATTCTCTGTCATAACTGAAGACACGGGCTTTCCAGAATCCACCTTCTTGCCCACAACAGGGCTATTTAAGGGGCTGGATGTCTACCTTGTGGGCTGACCAGGATGAGGTCTGTTATTTCCACATATTTGTTAAGACCTTTTTGTTTCATGGTTCTCACACATGGTTGAGCTATGAGGGAGCCCTGAGAACTCATCCATAACTTGTAATAAATAAATAACCTCCCCATAGTTTGCCCCTTGGATATTTGCTTTATGCCAGAACATTTTAGTTTTACCCATACACACGCATGCAAATGTATTTCTCCACTGAAAATAAAAACCTGATGTCCCCCCATAACTTTTACTGCTGACACTCAAGAATACCACATTGGCTGAGTGCTTGAGGGTGTTCTGACTAAATCAACAGTTATTCTGTACCCCACTTGGATATTTATAATTGTCAAAATTTATCAGCTTAGTGAATATTTGCTGAATATCAAAGTACAAAGCATCATGCTAAGTACAGCGGTAGCTACAAAGATGATTTTTTTAAATAGTATAGAATAACTGCATAAATTGTCATTTAATAATGCTTTAATGATTCAAAAGACAAACTAGAAATTTTGAGTATCTCAAGGCCCTCCTAGCAACTTCCCATTATTATTATTATAATGCAGTGTCTTGGGGAACATATGACAATAAGATCAACCATTTATTGACTATTTGTTGTTGGTAAAATTTTTCATTAGGCTCTTCACATTCAGTATTTCAATACAGTTTGATATAGGTATGAAGTCATTCCTGTTTTACTGATAAGGGAAGAGATTCAGATAAATTGTCTATGAAAACCACCCAGTTTATTAAGAATTGAGTAAGAATTCTAGTTTAAGTCTATCTTCTCCCAAACTCATGAATTTCCCCCTGTTCTGGTATTTATCACAATCTCCATGTAATAACATAAGTAGTTCACATCCTCTCCTTCAAGATTTTGATGTACTCATGCCTCCTGCCCCTTGATGAGAATATAGAAATATCCAAGTTTTAGAGTCATTAAATCCCCAAGGAAAATTTTAGAACCTTATTTTCTGTGATAATACAAAAAGATAATACTTCTGCTTTTGAAATATAAAATCTTATTTTAACATTTAACTATTACCCATAGTCTTTTTCCATAACATACTTTACCATTCCCAAATGCCCAGTATCAATCTTTTCTCTAGAGCCACATATATGTCTCACTCTTCGTCAATACTTTTTTTTTTTTTTTGGTGCGATATATTTCATCTTTCATCCTATAGTTTCTTTCATTCACTTTCCCTGAAGTCTTCTACATTTAGAACATGATATTTCATCTACATGATTCCTGAGGGAAAATGCAAATGCCCCTCAGACAGTGATCCTAAGCCAGTGGTTCTCAACATGTTGATACAGTTTAGATTTTCTGAATAGCCAGTCACCTTAACAAGAGCACGAGACTGGGGAAACAACCAAACATGAACATGAAGCAAATCCAGACATGACTAAGTCAGAAACAGTGAAGGCCACTTTAATAGGAAAGGCCCACTGGTCATCTCGGAAACACTGAGAGTTGTGGATACACAGGGGCTGATGTAAGAACGTTATGAAACAGGACCATACTAGTCAAATGGGAAGAAGAATGCAGAAGGAGAAAACACCAAGGTGAATTTGAAAAACAAGTGTATTTTTGGCTTAAAGATAATTTTACTCTCTTGCCTAATTTATAGAATATTTATTGCTTTTTTTGGGGGGGGGTGGATGAGTATTGCTCTTTTTTTGATTCTTCCCCTGGTATGAATGGAGTATAGACTGTTCCAAGGAAGGCACAGATAGGTTCTCCTTGATAGGAGGCACCTGACTATCCCAGAGTGCATCTAGAGACAGTGATGCATTGGACACCTCTGGGAACTCAAAGTACTCTCCTGCTGAGGATCCCTAACAGCTCCAGACATGGCTGGGCCTTCTGGTAGGCCTGGCCTCCAGGCTGACCACAGTGACAGACCACACTATGCTGGGAGAATCTGCCTGGAAGAAGAATGAGTTCTCCCCTTAGAAATGAGGGTAAGAAGAGACTCTTTTTAAAGCTAGTTATAAGAGGGGGAGGGATTGGTGGGGTGAGTGGTATTGAGGGTTAGCTTTTAATTTTGCATTGAAGAGTCAGTTAACAATGGTTACAAAAGGAAATTAAAAGCCTGGAAGCAGTTGAGGTTTTTGTTATTTCTGAAGTTACGAAACACATCAATATTGCACAGGCCTGTGTTTAATGTGGTGTAACAATGTGACAGCCTTTGTGGACAGGCTCTGGAACCCTTTGAATGGCTTCTATGAGCAAATGAACATTCTCTTTATGACTGTGACCCTTGGATTGTGTGCGCCCATTTTTCTGGCTCTTCAAGGGCATAGTCTCAGACTTGTCATGAAGTGAATTCAAGCAGTGTGCCTTTGGGGATTTGAGGGAAAGAAGAAAGGCCTGGCTGGAAATGTGGCTGTGAAGTTGAGGAAGAAAAGGGTTCAGAACAGAATCACCAAGTAGTAGTTCAAAGAATGAAGTGACTGCTGATGATTCTTGTGATGAAATTGCCACTCAAGTCTCAAATCATAGCAAAATATTTCCATGAATTCACACTTAAATGCACATAAACTGTGCTGTTAATGAAGGCACAGGGAAGAGAAATTCTTCACAAGCTTCATTGAGTTGAATATCCTAAAGAAATAACACATCTAAAACTCATTCAACATGCAGGTATCATAAAACTACTTAATGATGTAGGACAGAGCTTGTACTATTGTATTATGTGATAGGAATTTATTTAAATATTATGATGTCAATTATGCATACACTTGTGATTATGGTTCTGTTGGATAGATAATTATTATCACTCAACTGATAGGAAATGGAAGTGACAGAGAAAAGAAACTTGTCCAAGTTCACATAGAAGATTCATTCCCTGGCAGACTGACCCCCATGCTCACATCCTGGACCATTACCTCTACTCATACTTATCTCATGTTCTATTATGTAAAACATGAGGGAAAAACAAGTGTACTTGCACATGCTTACACAGCCCATTTAGTTATGGGTAATAAACTTTACAATCAAAAACTTTCTAAATTTAATAATGATCATTAAATAAACTTGTATTCTGTTATGTCTATCTATTTGAAAAACCCCTGTCAGTCTAGAAGGCATAAGGAGCATGTTTCCCAGAAACCTTGCCTTAATCTAGGTTCATGCAGGCCCTAGCCCTGTGTTAGGACCATGAGTGTAACATACAATTTCATAGTTTGATAATACGCTAGGCCCCATCCTCCCATATATTCTGTTATTTAATACTTTTTAAACATCAGCATGGCATGTTTCCTTCATCTCCTGAACTTTGCTAGCAAACTTTTCATTTACTTCATAATCCAGCAGTTAAGCCTCTTTCAGAGCTTGGGATCCCATATTCTTAAGAGTAAAAACAAGGGATGAACCAAGAGGGTGTGGAATAATGAAAGAATTGTAGGCTCTGAACAAAGCATCACCAGACTGTGCCAGGTAGCCCCCATTCTCTATTGGATTTTGCTTAAAAGAAAAGGGAGAGGGGAACAGTAGAATTTTCTTAAAGAATAGCCCAAATTATATAATCAAAAATTATTATATGTTTTTTTAAGTGGAAAAATAATGTGTATGAGTGTGTGTGTTTTGAAGGTCAGAATGGATGAATTTTCTAAACCATAATCTGAAATTAAATAGAAGAGAAAAATTTAAATGCTCTTTATTCAATAGTCTAGCAACCATTTGCTGAATACCCAAAACATATTAGTAGAAGATAAAGAATAGGAAAAATTATAAAGCTTATTTATTTTCCCCATAATTACTTGCTAATATGAGATTTTAATGAGATCATATGTAAAAGTATATTCTTCATTATTTTTAAAACTGGTGACTATAATTTTTCTATTCACTATAAGATATAGTCTTTCCACAGAGACTATAAGCCTTACAGCCTATTATAAGTCCTTTAAATTTTATGTTCTTTTTCATAATCAACTCACTGTAGAAGAAATTTTGCAGCCACTTGTCTTCATATTTGAGTTCCTCTTTATAAAATAAACAGCTAATGGTTCTCATTAGTTAAAGATATATAAGTTAAAATTTTTGTTTTTAATCATTAAAAATGATAGCTCAAAGCAAGTTCAGTTTTGGTAGAAGGCAGAATCAGCTTTGAATATAGCAAATATTAGATCCATAAATTGACACAAGTTTTAAGAGAGAAAGCAGTCTAAGAATGAATGCCAAGAAAGTTCACAGTTTGGTAAGGGTAGGTAACAGTTAATAATATTGTCATCCAGGGTAAGAAAAAAGACAAAAAGATTTGTCAAAAATTTGACAAAGGAATTTCCTGCTGGTCAGATGCTTGAAGGTCCACAGCGTCCTATTGGGAGACCCAAAAGGATTGATGATGTTGAAGAAACTGGAGGTGAAAGCAAACATTTTTAAAGAGTGAGAAAAAAGGTAAGTGAAGTTACCCATCTTAAAAATTCAAGGCCTAATCTGCTTTGTCAAAGAGAACATTAATAAAATAGTAGTATCTTTGCTTATAAACAATGTAAATCACCTCTGAAGTATTTTGTCTTACCAGGCTTAAGAAATCATCACACCTTTACGAAAGCACACTCAGGTCAAATGGATTCCTCTATGACATTGTGGATATTGGTTGATAAAACCCACCCAAGTATTCCTGAAACTCCTACAGGCTAGATATGCAGCATGGTGTTCTTCATGGATCTGTGCTCCAAAAAGAATTTAAACCAACACTTAACAGAAAGTGGCTTAGCATATGTAAAGGTTGTGGAGCTTCAAAGCTGAACGAAGATCTAAGTTCTGTCTCCAATATTTATCGATTGTATATCTTTAGGCAAGTTACTTAAAGTCTCAGAGGTACAGATTTCTTATCTTTAAAAATGAGGAAAACGGTGTCTTCAAGTTTGAAGAACATACTGTCAAGAGCTAGGTCCATTATACAGTTCAGTGTATATGGGGATCATTGAATGACAGATGCTATTGCTTTTCTTGTTAAATTCATCCTGCTGCAGAAATAAAATTGATATCTGCAACATAACTAAAATTACTTCATTAGATCATATGCCTAAGCAGGACTGGCTAAATGAGTTATAGGGCCCAAGGCAAAATGAAAATGCAGGGTTTTCTTATCAAAAATTATTAAGACTTTTGAGTCCATAGTAGCAAAGCAATAAGTCAATCAAGGACTCCTTCTAGGCATAAGATTCTATATGACTTCATGAAGCCAGCCCTTATCTTAAGTGAGCCTTGGAAATGTCAGACCTTGCTTCAAGAACAGACATAAATCAATTCCTGTGGGTAGCTAATGCTGCCTGCTTCAGCAGATCTAAGAACAATATTATCAATAATAATAATCTGGATAAATATTACAAAATAAAATTGCAGCTGGTTTCTGTCTTCTAGTTCTCTTTAGTGCCGTGGGCCATACTTTCCCAAGGAAAATGCATTTAAGGCTCAAGTTTTGAAGGGAGGGGAAAAAAATGCCTCCATCAACTCTTCTTCATTTTGTAGTACAAACGACCCTAGGAAACAGAAAAGGAATTAGAAAAACAAAATAAACATTAGAAAACCAGAGGCATTCTGGACAAGGATCAGAGAGGAAAATGTGTTAACAAATGTAATTCTGTTTAGAACTGCAAAATGAGAATACAACTTTCATTAATATCCTGGGTTGAATCCAGGTTTTTGTCTGATTGATATGGAGAATCCCAACTGTGAGGTTGGGAAAGACACTGAGATTTATGTGAGTTAGTATTTTTTAAAGTTATGTTCATGTCTCCAGACACTCAGGCAGATTTAATAAATCAAATAAATAAGTAAGTGAAAGAAGCATTCTATGCTTAGTTCTTCATTCAAAGTTTCCATTGTTATCCAAGAGATTTCCACATGCACGGCAATGACCAAAGATGGTTCTCTTGTTACCCATTATTTGAAGGAAAATATCTAGCTTTGATAATGATGTAATATGGTTTTCACCCCCTGAACTTCATAGAAGACCATTTAATCTTTGCCAGTGTCCCCTTATGGGCAAAAATGTATTTTCCACTTTTAATGTCGGTTGAATAGCTTGTGAATACTTTACAAGGGATATGTCACTTCTTGGTTTTGAGTTTTTATGTGGTAAATAATTTCAGCTGTGAGAGAATTTGAGAAATAACTGTACCACTTGGGAAATATATTTTTTTCTTTGAAAGAAAGAGGGAGAAAGAGATACAGAGACAAAGAAAGGTGGAGAAGACTCAGTACTCAGGCCCAGCAAAAGTCAACTTTTATCAACTGACAAAAACTTACAGTTTTTAAAAATTGGTCATTGAAATGCTGTTGTAATCTATAGAATAATAATATCTTTTTTTTTTTTTTTTTTACTGAGAAGGATAAAGAATCATAGCCCAAACCTTTGTTTTATACGTAAGAAAATAAAGACCATGAAAACTAACTTGCTAAACTCTGCTAGTTCTTTCTCCAGTTTTCTTGATACATTCTGTACTTTTTCTACATGACCTCGAGAAAGAGTTCATTTCAGGGAAAGTTTTGAACAGAACCTCCTCTCCCATAAAGTTATACCCAACCAGGTTTATAACCATTTTTCTATGTGATAATTTACTCCTTCACTCATTCATCTATTTATTAAATAGATTAAATACGTCTTTCAAAGAGTGTGTATTCCAATCCCATGTTACTTTGGGGACTGAACAGAGGCCCATCTCGTGACTGTAAGAAATGTAAAACAATGAGGAAAAAATAGTGCAGTCAAAGTTAAATACACCAAGCGGGAGCTAGGGAGGCCCAAGAATTCAAAAGGAAATAGGGTGCATATGGGCAATGCAAACAATCATACTGTTACCAGTCAGAGAAAACTTTATGTAAATTGTAGTGTCTTTAGGATTGTCACTTATCAAAGTGGTAAAGCAGTTTGGCATCGTAGTTCAGAGCTTGGATTCCAAAGCCAGATCGCCTGTTTTCTAATCCTGCCCTGAAACTCTGTATGAATTCCTAGACAAGTTACTTAGCATTTCTTGACTTCAGTTTTCTTCTTGGTAAAATCCAGATTAATAGTAGCACTCAGATTCTATGTTATAAGGATTAAAATAATTGATCCAAGTGACAGCATTTAGACTAGCGGCCGGTACTAAATAAGCACTGGGTAAATGTTTGCTGTTATTATGAAATTATAGAGCTTTAATTTATCTGCTAAAATTATTCATATTTGCTTTGTAACTGACTGAATCACATTTTCCTAGCTTCAAAATATATATTCAATCTAGTGTCCCAATCTGAAGGATAAATAGTGAAAATTCAAAAACATAGAAGCTCCGACATGTCTTTATATTTCCGTATAATATAGTTATAATCCCTAGACTACAGGAGGCTATGTGATATTATTTTCTCAAAAAGAAAAGGTAACACATATGAAAATGTCCCATTAGTTGTCCAAGTGGTTATTTTTAGGATATAGAAGATGATACAAGAAATTTACTTGATGGTACACTAGTCAGTGAAGGACATCAAAAGCCACTGTGCAAGGTTCCTTTGTGTCTGGGGCCAGGTACGATAAACAGGAAGCAGCCCTGTGGAATGGAAAGAACTAAACTAAAATCCAATGTCTTGAGCTTCCCTGCTGTTCTGATTCCTTGCTTGTTCCATCTTAGCCAAGTTGCTTAACTTGTCTGAACTTTTGTTTCACGACCCTGAATTTTGGGATGGTATTGTGAGAGCATAAGTCAAGTTTCTACAAGATTAGATTTGTGAAGCTATAACTTTATGACAAAAATATAAAACAGCCTAATCACAATATATTCAATTTAGTTTCTGATCAGTTTCTAGACTTTAAGGTAAAATTTGTAAGTTCACATAGGGCATCTTTATATATAAGAATATAAATATATGTAAATGTTATATTAAAAAGTATATATACATATATATCTAAAGATGTCCTTTATGAACCTAAAAATGTCTATATAAAATTTCCAATGTATACACACACACACACACACACACACACACACACACACACACATACCCTTGGCACCAGTTTTTCCTTTTCCATCTCATTTGCTTCTTAGTTATATCCCACACTTTTCTCCTAAAAAAGCAGGAGGTGTTTGGATATAAAAATTTGCATTTTAATTGAGTTTGATTCACACTGACTTGTTATCTCTTAGAAGTTTGCATTTTAACACTAATGTGTTACCTCCCTTAACTCTTTTGGCATTCAATCTGCATATAAAAATATGACTTCCTTTAATGTTAAGCTACAGATGCATCTGCTTCAGCATTTTGCAGTGTGTGAAAGGCTCAGTTCAGAAGGGAATTGAGATGTGGGTGGGGGAGGCGAAAGCAGCAGTGTTAACTCCTCAACCCCCTTTTCACACCTCTGTACTCCAGTCTTAATCTCCCTGAATCCTCTAACCAAACACTTTCCCCGAGTTTCTCATGGTGCTCTCTCCCTTCCCCTGGGTTCATATTTCTGCTCCAGGCTCCCATTCCCTGTAGCTTGTTGCTGCTTTCTATGACCCAACATTTCTGCTGATGACAATCCCTAGAATTTAAGGAACCCAGCCCAGATGAAGACCAAGAAAGGGAGAGTTCTATGATTTTGGAGGATGAAAACCAAAAATGGGATGTGGTTGAGTGAGTAGGAGATGACAGAGGAGTTTATTGGCAAGATGGAGTAGATGTCAGTCTCAGGCTTCAAACAGAGAGCAAGCAGGCACGGAAACGTGACAGAATATATTTACATGACACTGTGATAAGAAAAAAGCACCTAACATCTTGAAATTGCCTCTAAGACAGGCCACACATTGGTGTTGGGATTTAGTGTGGAATGTTCTGTACCCAATATCTTGTGGTTTGTTCTCATCAGCAAGTACATGAACTCAGGGGAAATATCTACATGGAATCACTTGTTCATGAAGAAGAGTTCCATCAAAATTTCAGGAATGTTGTGTCTTGAAGCTGACACTGTGCTGACTGAGATGAGGGAAGGGAATTATGTCCTACAGTGAAAGTTCCTCTGAGAGCACAGAAACTGACTGCTCCTCTACCCACCTGGAACAGCAGAAAGTAGTTAGTCATCCAGGTTCCTGATAGCCTGCTTCTCTCCCAGAATTCCACACACCATCAGGAATTTGCTGTTTGTTCATTTGTGATTCCTCAGCTGATTTGAGTGGATTTTCCCTCTACTCTTCTAAATGTTGTTGTTTTGATTGACAATTTGAGAGGTGTTGCCTAGTTGAAACTTCTGTGCTGTGACTGCTACTTCACTGTTTTCATTTTGTTGATCAGTTTGTTTAAAGTTTTTCGCAGGTTTACTTTATTTGATTGCATCTCACCTTTATATTCTACTTTAAGGGGTAAATAGAAAATC